TTTTAGAAAAAGAAACCATCATATTTAAAGTTAGTATGAGGGAGAACAATTAGTTACAAAGTTTTACCCATATATTAAAAAGAGAAATCACACTGTTCTAGATGATCCTTACATGATCCTTACATGATCATAGTAAACAGTATGAATTTTTTTTAATCTGTGGGTCAACTTTGTAAGTAGTTTTTTCTTTCTCATACTAACTCCAAATCTGATGATTTTTTTTCTAAAATTTTCTAAAATCATTCTCTATCAATTTATTTTGTTGGTTTTGTCTATATATACATATGAAAAGTTTGAACAATTTAAATTTTGAATTTCAACAAAATACAACTTCAGACAAGATTTTGGTTCCCCAAATAATTTCATCTGAAAAAGTGATAAATACCAAAGTTGAATAACTCATCAAGATCTACAACTTTTATATTGGTCATTTCTTCATATGACAATGTGGTAACGACATTGTTCACAAATATGACACATCTCTCATAAGGTTTTATAAACTATATGAGATATGTGTAAAATTAGTGAACAATGTGTGCTAAGAATTTGTCAAATGAAAAAATGACCAAAATAAAAGTTGTATATATTTGTGAGTTGAACAACTTTGGTATTCATCACTTTTTATGTTGAAATCAATTTGGGTCTCAAATTTTGGTTCGAACTTGTCGTTTTTCAAATTTTCAAATTTGAAAGGTTCAATTTTTGTTAAATGACAATATGACTAAAATAAAAGTTGTAGATATTAATGAGTTGAACAACTTTGATATTCATCACTTTTTATGTTGAAATCATTTTTGGTCTCAAATTTTCGTTCGAACTTATTATTTTTTAAAATTTCAAATTTGAAAGGTTCAAATTTTATCAAATGACAAGATGACCAAAATAAAAGTTGTAGATCTTGATGAGTTGAACAACTTTTGTATTCATCACTTTTACGTATGAAATCATTTAGGGTTTGAAAATTTAGTTTAAACTTATCAAATTTCAAATTTGAAATTTTAAAATGTGTAAAACATTGTCACATCCAAGTTTGATCAAACTTAAATGCTGAAGCATAATTTTAGAAATTTTTAGAAAAACAAACCATCACATTTGGAGTTAGTATGAGGGAGAACAACTAGTTACAAAGTTTACCCACAGATTAAAAAGAGAAATCACACTGTTCTAGATGATCCTTACATGATCATAGTGAACAGTATGATTTCTTTTTTTAATCTATGGGTCAACTTTGTAACTAGTTTTTCTTCCTCGTACTAACTCCAAATCTGATGATTTTTTTTCTAAAATTTTCTAAAATCATTCTCTATCAATTTATTTTGTTGGTTTTGTCAATATTTACATATGAAAAGTTTGAGCAATTTAAATTTTGAATTTCAAAAAAATGCAACTTCAAACAAGATTTTGGTTCCCCAAATAATTTTAGCTGAAACAGTGATAAATACCAAAGTTGAATAACTCATCAAGATCTACAACTTTTGTATTGGTCATTTCTTCATATGACAAAGTGGTAACGACATTGTTTATAAATGTGACACATCTCTCATAAGGTTTTATAAACTATATGAGACATGTGTAAGATTAGTGAACAATGTGTGCTAAGAATTTGTCAAATAAAGAAATGACCAAAATAAAAGTTGTAGATATTCATGAGCTGAACAACTTTGGTATGCATCGCTTTTTATGTTGAAATCATTTTTGGTCTCAAATTTTGGTTCGAACTTGTCATTTTTCAAAATTTTCAATTTGAAATGTTCAAATTTTATCAAATGACAAGATGACTAAAATAAAAGTTGTAGATATTAATGAGTTGAACAACTTTGGTATTCATCACTTTTTATGTTGAAATCATTTTTGGTCTCAAATTTTGGTTCAAACTTGTGATTTTTAAAAATTTTAAATTTAAAAGGTTCAAATTTTGTCAAATAACAAGATGACCAAAATAAAAGTTGTAGATCTTCGTGACCTCTACAACTTTGATGTTTATCAAATTTTCATTTAAAATCATTTGATGTCTCAAAATTATTTTAGTATTTTTTGATTTTAATTTTTTAAAATTTAAAATTGTTTTCCCATTTTTAAAGGTTTAATTTTGCAATTTTAAACTGTTGTAGTTGTTTTAGTTATTGTATATGTAAATATATCTATAAAAAATAATTATAAAATTTTGTACTGTATTATTTATTATTTACATGTAAATAATTCATTTTGATTTTTTTTAAATCCAACTGTAGGGGCGACTTATAACCTCAGCCGCCCCTACAGTTCAGGCTCCCTCCACCGAAATATCTTCTCTCCCTCACGCTCCACAACCTCCAAAGCCTTATCGTCTTCTCCCGACCCTGAGCCCCACGACCCACGAGCACCGTCTCTCCCTCCTCGGTCCTGCCCGTCCCCTTCCTCTCCCTCTCCCTCTCTGCCGGCAGGGTGGCCACAATGCAGACCGGGCCACAGGCGGTGCGCTGGCGCTGCCCCTCTCTCTCCCTCTTCCGATGAGGCGCGTCACCGGCCAGGACCCCGTGGTGGCGGCGCACCAGCGCGCCGACGAGGTGGCGCTCCGGTGGTAGTTCCTGGCGCTACCCGACAACTGCTATCCCTCCCCCACCCCATATCTCTCTCTCCCGATGTGGCGCCATCTCCGACAACCATAGGGTTCGTCGCCGTACTGACACTCAGGTTCGTCCCTCCTCCATCTTGATCTCAATCTAGATTTGCTATTCCATCTTCATCTTTTCTTCTCTCAGATCCCTGCGGTGGACGACTGTAATCACCGGCCTCCGCACCGTCTGTCAGGTACTCCCGTTTCCTCTTATTTTGTTTTTGCCCTCTGATTTCTCCCCACATTAGGTTGGATTTCCTGTTCTAGGGTTTGCGCTCCAGTGCTTGCTGCTCCACTGTTTGCCTTCTCCGTGTTGATCCCTGGGAGGCATGCTTCAAGCCAACCGCGGCGGCACAGGTACTGGTCAGGCCGAGTGCCAATGCCCTGTTGTGTTATCTTCTCTCCAGTTGTATTGTGTTTTCTTTTCTCATTTCCTAGAATGAGTCAGCAGCTCAAAATCTGTTTACAGAGGGCTGACTATGGCATGTACGGAACGGAACCAATTGATCAAAATGGGTTATGGCCATGGAGGTGAGCCATTTGCTGATCTATTATGTAATAATTCTTCTGAAGAGTAATTTCATCTATGTTTTTAGTTTTTACTGCTCTTAGTTTTTCCAGAGCCTTACAATAGTCAATGGCAATGCAGTTGCACATAGAGATGGTGTGAACAGGATGTGTTGTTTGTATCACATTGCGGTCCATATTTTTTTCTTTCTTATATTCTTACTTGCTGTATCCATGATTTCAAGGAATATCGACAGAGCCTTTAGCCTGCTAGTCTGTTGACTGTTGGTCTAAGACAGTCTGTACAGATACAAAAAAAAAAACTCCTCTTTGGTAAGTTCCATGTTACTTGGTCATAATGCTCCATTTAGTGCCTTCTCTATGAAGGGCTAACGTTACAGTGAAATGCGACCTGCGGTGCACAAGGTACCAGCACAGGCCTAATTAAGCGAGCCTACACCATGTAACAGCTAGCACTGCAGTAGGATTGTATCAATTTAATTAATTTGGCTCTAACCAAGAAATTCAAAGCAAGCAAGGTCTAAAAATGTATTTTTCTAACTTTCAGTCCATCTAATGTTCTTTGGGTGGCTATGTCTGTAGGTATGAAGGAGATGTGCGGAGCGGGCAACAACGACGACGAGAGGGAACACCTCCTGCGCGGTTAAGAACAATGGCTTCCAGCGAGGGCCACCCATGATGGTACATGTGTCGTCTTTGTTTTTCTTATTTCTTTCTAGTATTTCCCTGGTTATCCAAATGTAGTAAAGAAAATTCTACCGTGATTCCATTTTTCGATTTTAGCACACACTTTATATTTAGACAACTTGACAACTTTTGCTTCTCATTGAGCTCTTAGAGTTGCAATTTCATTCCAGTTGGTTTATGAAGATTCCTACAGTGGTCGCTTATGTGTGAGATTAAAAATGTTGCATGATAATATTACTCTGAATATATTCTTCAATTTGAAAATGCACTAATAGGTTTGTGGTAGTTGCATGTCCATTTCTTTTTCTTCAAACATTCAGTTTTATTCTCACTTTGATAGGTAAAATATTCTCTTTTCTCCCTCCAAACAATATGTTCTTCTCTGTTCCAAATCAAGTTAACAAACAAGATCTAATGGTCCTAATAAGTTACCTCTTGGCCGCGTCTTCTATGCATGCATATCAGATGTTAATTAGCAATGTTGCAACGGAGAAAGAGATTTAGCATTTATTGTGGTTACTAACATACATATGAATTTGAATTATTGCGGTCAGATTCGAATTTGAATTATATATATATATATAGTCAGATTTGAATTTGATTTTTTGCTGGAAAATCCACTGTAGGGGCGGTTCTTAATTGAACCGCCCTTACAAATACACACAGCAGGGGCGGCTGGTGATACAGCCGTCCTTACAGAAGTCCACTACAGGGGTGGCTGAAAACACTAGCCGCCCCTACAGAGGGCACTGTAGGGGCGGCTGAAAACACTAGCCACCCCTACAGAGGCACCTTCTGTAGGAAGGGCGGCTGGCGCAGCCGTCCCTATAGAGGTTCTAGAGCCGTCCCTACAGTTAATTTCTGTAGTAGTGATCGTTTCCGGCCGTTTTTTGGCATGTGATCTGTGCGGACCGGGTCACGGTCCCCTTGCAATTTTATTTTTTAATCCGAGTTCGACTGCGGACGGGCATTTGTTCTTTACAGGATTATTACAGGCCAGGTAAATATAAAAACTTATTTTTTAGGAGTATTTGCTTATATAAGTCTGGTCTTTGATTCGGATATGAATTCACCCCCTTAGGATCCATAAATACAGCCTTGTTCGCGACACATGGGACACACCTCCATAGTCCATACTGAAGTGAAGGGGAGATAGAAATACGAGTCACGGGAGATAGGAAGACAGCGTATGGCGAAACGCCAACGCTCTGAGGAGCGCGGCTGCCAAGGCACCACCAAGCGACTGGCGCCTGAGCGGAAGAAGCATCTGTACCTGCTGCTTGACGACTGGGAGAGGGGCTACAGCATCCGCAGGATGGACGTCGACGACTTCAACTCTGACGACGACGCCGGCACCGACCTACCGCCGACGCGCTTCACGGAGCCGCCGGTCGCCCGCATAGAAGCCGAGCACGAGCGCGACTGCGACTCGGTCGTCTCACACGGCACCAAGATATTCGCCATGCAGCCGGGCGAAGCCAGCCCCGGCATCCCGGCCTTCGACACGCGCACTCTGGCGCTGTCGGTCTGCTCGTGGCCCTAACCCGGCTACAGCAGGGACATGCTGCCCTTGTTTGCCTCCGCCGCCGGCAAGCTCTTCGCGTTCATGGACGTCGACGCTTTCTACCTCGGCGACCAACCGCCGTACGGCAGCAAGGCGCCGTGGTCCTGGACCGCCGTCGAGCCGCGGCCGCCGTTCTACGCCAGCCAGGTCAAGTGCTACGCGCTGCACCCGGACGGCCGCACCCTCTTCGTGTCCGCCGCGTCCCGGCGGAGCCACCGCTCCGGCACCTTCTCCCTGGACGCGGAGCGCCTCGAGTGGACACGCCGCGGCGACTGGCTGCTGCCGTTCGCTGGCCAGGCCTACTTCGACGCCGATCTGGAAGCGTGGGTTGGCCTCTGCCGCGAGAGGGCCAACGCTGGCCGCCTCTGCTCCTGCGACGTCGTCGCGCCCGTCGCCGCTGGTGAGCTCGCTAGCCCGCCGTCCTGGAAGATCGGCGAGGACATGCTGTTCCGCGAGGATTACTCGGAGCAGCTCCGTCTGGGTGCCAAGCTCGTTTACATGGGCGGCCACAGCAAGTTCTGCCTCGTTGAGCTTCTCTTTCACAAGGACGACGAGCATCTGGGCAGTGGTGAAGATAAGATCTGGCCGCCCCGGCCCCGGCCTCGACGCCGGCGTGTTCTTAATCTGACCACGTTCGGTGTCAAGTACAATAAGGAGGGACAGCTGCGGACTAGCATGCTGCAACGAGGTCGCGCGTGTAAGATGTACAAGCGACCTTGCGATTCTGGAGGATCATCGAATACTATGGCATTCTGGCTCTGAGTTTTCAGAACAACGAGCTCTCCGTCAGGCTAGACCAAACCATGCGTGTTCGTTGTTGGTCGTTATTTGTAACCCCGATCCTTGTCGTAGTGCTGGAGTTTTTTTAGTAGATCACTCATATCTGGTCTGTAATTTGTCCTGTCGTCCTCTCTAGCGTTTTTGCCATATTGGGCACATTTTTAAACCAAATTAGATATCTACAAGCATGTTTTCATCGAAACCATTTTTCTTTCTTGCAAAATATCTTAAGAGCAATGCACCCAGGCCAATGTGGCTTATGTGGACAGATAAAATAATTTAGATGTGTCCATGATCCATTTTAATCGATTTATTTTCGAGAAAATAATATGAAAATGAAAGTGATTTGGCCTCCTATCAATCGTTTCCGACTGTTTTTAGGCCTGTGATATGTGCAGACCGGGTCACGGTCCCCTTGCAATTTTATTTTTTAATCCGAGTTCGACTACGGACGGGCTTCTGTTTTTTACAGGATTATTGCAGGCCATGTAAATATAAAAACTTATTTTTAGGAGTATTTGCTTATATATAAGTCTTGACTTTGATTCAGATATGAATTCACCCCCTTACGATCCATAAATACAGCCTTGTTCGTGACACATGGGACACACCTCCATAGTCCATACTGAAGTGAAGGAGAGATAGGAATACGAGTCACGGGAGATAGGAAGACAGCGTATGGTGAAACGCCAACGTTCTGAGGAGCGCGGCTGCCAAGGCACCGCCAAGCGACCGGCGCCTGAGCGGAAGAAGCATATGTTGTTAGGAAGTTCTAAACTTTAGGTGTAGATCTAGCGGGTAAAACAAACATCTGTTGGTGTACCTTGGTAGCAAGTGCGCCCGCAGTGATCAGAGATGAAGTGCAATCGTAGTCCCTACGGCGACACGAGGTACAGTGTCCCGGTGGTGGCACTGCAGAGGCGACGACGTAGTCGGTGGGGCTTTCTGTCGCTGGCAGCACCCTTCTTTAGATCGGATTAGTGTTTCTCTGTAGGTGGTTACGGCGGCTCCGGTCAACCTCGTAGTTAGAGCCCTATCTTCCCATCTCTCCTTATGGTGCTGTGCGACAGGGGCCCACCAACCATATTAGGGTTGGACGTCCCCGATCAGGGCGCTGATTCAAGGGCCCAACTGGGCCTATTGATGGAGATCAACTAACATTCTCCTCCTTGATCTCACTAGCATCTTTCAATTTCATATCATTTAGTTTTGTTCATTCCATTACATATTAGCGCATAAAGCATGTTTCATCGTCACGGTCAATTGCCGATAGATTTAACAACTACAACACATCACTCTGTTCTAAAATAGATACTTAACTTTGGGTCTTCTTTTGTCCAGGAATTTTAGGCTTTCTCTTAAACCCATGCTAGCTACATGTTCTCTGAACACGTTGGGATCCGCGAGCATCTTTTCGGTACTTATATGCTCAAGACTTATGACATGATCCCGGATTTTATCTTTCATAACATAATACTTTATGTCAATGTGTTTGGCAGCACCACTTGACTTATTGTTGTGAGCATACTGTACTGCCGGATTATTATCACAGTATAACTTAAGTGGTCTATAGATGTCGTCAACCACCATCAAACCAGGTATGAACTTCTTTAGCTTGTTCACCTGCCCTGTTGCCTCATAACACACTACAAACTCGGCATACATTGTGGACGATGTAGTGATGGTTTGCTTTGAGCTTTTTAATGAAATAGCTTCCCCCTGCGAGAGTGAATACATATCCAGACGTGGATTTTCTATCATCTCCCGCATAATCAGAATCTGAATACCCCACTATATGGAATGAATCTGATCTTCTATGCATCATCATGAGGCCTTTCGTTCCTCGCAAATAACGTAAGACTTTACTAATTTCCAGTGTTCTATTCAAGAATTGCTCTGAAATCTGCCAGGTAACCCGGTAACAAATACCAAGTCAGGGCGCGTATATACTTGAGCATATTGCAAGCTTCCGACAGCTGAAGCATATGAAACCGCTTTCATTTGATCGATCTCATATTGGTTCTTGGGGCATTGAAAATCCCAATATCTGTCGCCCTTGACTTTAGGAGCAGGTGAGGGACTACATTTGTGCATACTGAATTTCTTTAAGATCTTTTCTATGTATGCCTTTTGTGACAGTTCTAATACCCCTTTACTTCTATCTCGGTGAATCTCGATCCCTAGAACGAATGAAGCTTCACCAAGATCTTTCATATCAAATTTTGAGGACAAAAACTTCTTTGTCTTCAGTAGTAGACTAACATCACTACCAGCAAGTAAGATATCATCTACATACAGGACAAGGAAGATAAACTTCCCATTCTTAAACTTTGCATAGACACAATTGTCCTCTATATTCTCTTTAAACCTAAAATTCATTATTGTCTGACAAACTTCAAGTACCACTGTCTTGAAGCTTGTTTTAATTCATAAATGGATTTCTTTAGGCGACATTCCATTCGTTCTTTTCATTCCATGACAAAACCTTTCGGTTGTGCTATGTAAACATTTTCCTCCAAGTCTCCATTGAGAAATGCCGTCTTTACATCCATCTGATGTAATTCTAAATCGTAATGTGCCACTAATGCCATTATGATTCTGAAGGAATCCTTACATGAGACTGAAGAAAATGTCTCATTGTAATCAATCCCTTCTCTTTGCATAAAGTCTTTTGCCACAAGTCGCGCTTTATATCTCTCTATATTCCCTCGAGAGTTAAGTTTTGTTTTGTAGACCCATTTACAGCCTACTGTTTTGGCTACTTTAGGAATTATTTTCAAGTCCCAAACTTTATTGGCATTCATAGATTTCATTTCATCCTCCATGGCCTCAAGCCACTTTGATGAATGATCACTTCTCATGGCTTCTTCAAATAAGGTGGGATCATCCTCCATTTGAAATTCCTCAGTGTTGTATACTTCATAGTCAGCAGGAATAGCTGATTTTCTAACTTTTTGAGACCTTCTAGGGGCCTCCACATTTGGCACATCTTCTGTTTGAGGCTGTTGTTGCTCCCCCTTATATGTGGCAATAGGTTCTATAGGATCCTAAAGAAAAGGTTTCTCATCGTCATTCATTGTTGCCACAGGCGGAATAACAACAGGTGCTGGCACCATAGTATCTTGCACTGTCGGTGCAGCGATAGCAGGTAGTGAGAAAAATAGCTCATGAATTATCAGAGTGGGCGCATACAACCGCTTCTCTTCAAGGTCAATTTCTCGAGCTACCATGCTCCCCCTCATCATTTCATCCTCTAGGAAGACAGCGTGTCTCGTTTTCATAAACTTTGTATGTCTATCTAGATAGTAGAAATAAAAACCTTTTGACTTTTCTAGGTAGCCAATGAAATGACAACTTACTGTTTTGAGATCTAACTTTTCAATGTTTGGGTTAAATACTTTAGCCTCAGCAGGACTCTCCCACATACGTAAGTCGTTTAGTGAGGGTACTCTTCCTGTCCACAATTCATACGGTGTTTTGGACACCGACTTACTTGGTACTCTATTGAGAATATGAATGGCGATTTTTAACGCCTCCATCCACAGGCTCAAAGGTAAGGTGGAGTAACTTATCATACTGCGCACCATATCCATCAGGGTACGATTGCGTCTTTCAGCTACTCCATTCTGCTGAGGTTCGCCCGGTGTAGAATATTGGGCTACTATGCCATTCTCAAGTAAGAACTTTGCAAAAGGTCCAGGAACTTGACCATATGGGGTATGCCGACCGTAATACTCCCCCCCACGGTCGGACCTGACTATCTTAATCTTTAAATTATGTTGGTTTTCAACTTCTGCCTTAAATATCTTAAATTTATCAAATGCTTCTGTTCTTTCTTTGATTGGATAAATGTAGCCATAACGGGAGTAATCATCTGTGAATGTTATGAACGAATCATAACCATCCACACTCTTTATAGGAAACAGACCAAAAATATCCGTGTGAATAATCTATAAAATTCCTACGTTTCGTTTGTCATCTTTCTTAATTTTCTTTACATAGTTTTCTTTTATGTATTCTCTGCATTGTTCTAAATCTGAAAGCTCTAATAGAGGAAGAATATCATTCTTAACTAGTCTTTCTATTCTCCCCCTCGAAATATGGCCTAAATAATAATGCAATAATTTTGACGACGCATCGTGAGCTCTCTTATGTCATCATTTTCAGAGTAACTCTCTGTCACCAGCTGCTTTATCAACAGGGTAGCATATGTCTTTGAAGAGCTAGTGAACTGACTCTTTATTCTATCAAGGTACTCGGTGACCGTGTCACACTCTGAGATTGAGCCCACAATTGCAGGCCCAATCGTATTCTTTATCACAGCCAAACAAGTGACACATTTCCTATACTCAAGGTCATATGACATTTTTTGGCATTCAAAATCTCTCTCTTTAGTTGCCCAAGCGGCATCAGCCTCGTTTGTCTCCCTCACCGGTGCCACAGGCTCTGTGGAATACGGTGAGGTGACTACCCAGTCCACCTCAGCCAAGATGAAGGCCAGGTCAATCTTTTTTCTTAACATAAAAAATAACAACAATTGCATGCCTTGATTCCAATGTTGGTCAAAATTAAAACATATAACTGTTCTTATACACTAATTCTACATCACCGTTGGGTAGAAATAGAATTAATGCATAAAATCATTAAAATTACGATATTGTTATTAACAACGTTGGTCAAAAAATAATAACATCATAATCATATCAAAATCACTAATTCTACATCACCGTTGGGCAGAAATAGAATTAATGCATAAAATCATTAAAATTATGATATTGTTATTAACAACGTTGGTCAGAAAATAACAACATCATAATCATGTCAAAATCTCTTTTTCTTCAATTAAATATCACGTCGGTTCAAAATAACTTGAGAATAAACAATTTCTTTAGCAGCGGAAACATGAAAAATTAATTATCTATGTTTCAGAAGCATTAATCTTTTCTCAAATATTCTCTGAAAAATTATCCCGTTGGTTCAAA